TGTGTGTGTGTGTGTGTGTGTGTGTGTGTGTGTGTGTGTGTGTGTGTGTGTGTTTCTGAAGATGGAACCCAGGGCTTGGAACACATGGGGCCTGTTTTCTAGCACTGAGCTGTGCTGGGACCGAGATGGAGACGGTTTGCTCTCCTTTGTTTTGGTTTTATCTGGGTAGTATTTCCTGTGTAATCAAATGTATTGATTCCCCTCCTCCGGAGCTTCTGGGTTTTTGAACCTTTGCTCCTTGTTCGCCTCTCACCATCACTTTTGAGTCTCCTGTGTTCTTTCTACTTTTGCACCCACATTTTGTTCATTGGCATTCATTCTGTGCCCAGGGTCCTGTGAAATGTCACTTCCTGCGAGGTGGAGATTTGCATGCAGAGTTTTAGGGAAGATCCCCTTAGGCTGCGACAGGGCGTGAGGCAGAAATAGAAACTGAATCACATGGATGGCAACGGCTCAAGCTAGTGGCCCTTTATGGTTGAGGCATGGGGCCTGGGCTCCGCCCAGGGAGCTCACTTAAGGTGCTCCCCTTAGCCAGTGGGCACCACTACCAAGAACAGTCCTCGGTTTGGAGGTCTTTCCTGGGAGAATGAACATCTCGGCCCCGAAGCAGGGGGCCACAGCATCCTTTTGGTATCTCATTTGTCTGGTTCAGTATCGTGTTCTCTGCACTCTGAGGTGTGCTCAGGAAATCTCTGATGAGTGAATGAAAGACAAGTGTCAGCCATGAAAACACACACAAGTGACATCTGGAGCGAGCGTCAGCCATGAAAACATACATCCAAGTGACATCTGGAGCGAGCCGTTGTATTTATATATTTAGGAACACACACATATGCAGCAACACTTAAAGAAAGAGGCCATGAATTTGAATGAGGGGGAGGTATATGAGAGGGATTGAAGGGAAGGAAGAGAGAAAATGATATAATTATATTTTAATCTGCAGGGCGGGGGTGGGGGGGCAAAAGAGCACAAATTCCAATTTCCAGCCAACAGGATGGCGACGGCACAGGTGGGTGCAGGGAGGAGGCGCCCTGGGCGAGGTATCCGGTTATTTCCTCCCGTCTGCCTGCCCTGTGCTGTTCACTCGGTGACCCCTTGGTCAGCCGTGGGTGCTGGCGGACACATGCAGGCTGAGCTGGGCTGTCAGTGTGAATCTGTCGTGTGAGCGCTCTTTGGACACGCATCGTCTTCGTGATCTTTCAGTTTGGTTCTTCTTTCCCTTTAGCACTCCTTGAAGAAAAGAGGAACCCGATCTCTGGGGAAGACGGACAAGAAGCCCACTGCACAGGTACTTCCGCAGCACCCCTCACAGGCCCTGTGTGGAGTTTGGAAGACCAGGCCAACTCCAAGTGTCCTGGGACGTCCCCAGAGGTCCCCATCCCTCCCCTGTGTCTCTCCTGTACACTTCCTTCCCTGTGCGTGCTCTCAGCTCCACTCTAACTTTTCTTTCTCCAAGCCCACTCTGAACCCATCCTTAGACACTCCGGGACCCACACGTTGCTCACACAGCATAGGGGTGACTAAACCCAAGGTTCAGGGTCACAGGTCCCTGGACTCTGCGGCTTGATTGCCGTCCAACTGAGATGCATCACTTCAACTTTCTGGTCCATTTCCTCATCTCTTCTTATTGTGTGAGTTTGTTGTAAGACTTAGATAAAAGTACCACATTTTGCACAGGCCAGGCACAGAATCCTGTTAGCAGCCGGGGTGCCAGGCACTTTTTGTACATTTCCCCCCATTTAACAGTCATTGTGTGAGAGAGGAATGTTTCTGTCCCCTTTTACAGATGGAGCAGTTCTAGCAGGAATGGCCACAGTCAGTCAGAATGTCACCAGCTCCAAGACTCCGAGATTGTAGGCAGTGTGCCCTGGTCTCTCAATATCAATGTCTCTGCTCTGCTCTCTGTGGCCTCCAGGCCTGGAGAGCCGGGCTGATTCACCCCTGTGTTCTCAGACATAGTCAGTATGCTCCAGAATGCTGTGGCTAGCTCCAAGCTGCCAATAACCTTCCTTATTGCTATCTGTCTCCGTACCCCTTGGGCCGCAGGAGGACAGCGCAGACCTGAAATGCCAGCTGCATTTCGCAAAGGAGGAGTCGGCCCTCATGTGCAAGAAGCTCACCAAGCTGGCCAAGGAGAACGACAGCATGAAGGAGGAGCTGCTCAAATACCGCTCCTTGTATGGAGACCTGGACGCAGCCCTGTCCGCGGAGGAGCTGGCGGATGCTCCGCACTCCCGCGAGACAGAGCTGAAGGTGCACCTGAAGCTGGTGGAGGAGGAGGCCAACTTGCTGAGCCGGCGCATCGTGGAGCTGGAGGTGGAGAACCGGGGCCTCCGGGCCGAGATGGACGACATGAAGGACCACGGGGGTGGCGGGGGCCCCGAGGCCCGGTTGGCCTTCTCGGCTCTGGGTGGTGAATGCGGGGAGAGCCTGGCTGAGTTGCGGCGCCACCTGCAGTTCGTGGAAGAGGAGGCTGAGCTGCTGAGGCGCTCTTCCGCTGAGCTGGAGGACCAGAACAAGTTGCTGCTGAACGAGCTGGCCAAATACCGCTCCGAGCACGAGCTGGATGTGACTCTGTCCGAGGACAGCTGCTCGGTGCTCAGCGAGCCCTCGCAGGAGGAGCTGGCGGCCGCCAAACTGCAGATCGGCGAGCTCAGCGGCAAGGTCAAGAAGCTGCAGTATGAGAACCGCGTGCTCCTCTCCAACCTGCAGCGCTGCGACCTGGCCTCTTGCCAGAGCACACGCCCCATGCTGGAGACGGACGCCGAGGCTGGGGACTCTGCGCAGTGCGTGCCCGCTCCCCTGGGCGAGGCGCTGGAGCCCCACACTGCTCGGCTCTGCAGGGCCCGCGAGGCCGAGGCGCTGCCCGGGCTGCGGGAGCAGGCCGCCCTGGTCAGCAAGGCCATCGACGTCCTGGTGGCTGATGCCAATGGCTTCTCGGTTGGCCTCCGGCTGTGCCTGGACAATGAGTGTGCAGACTTGCGGTTGCACGAGGCACCTGATAACAGTGAGGGACCCAGGGATGCCAAGCTCATCCATGCTATCCTGGTGCGGCTGAGCGTGCTGCAGCAGGAATTGAACACTTTCACGCGCAAGGTGGATGTGGCCTTGGGTAGCTCTGGCAAGGAGCAACCTGAGCCCTTCCCTGCGCTACCCGCCTTGGGCTCCCAGGGGTCCTCTAAGGAGATCATGCTGGCCAAAGACCTTGGCTCTGACTTCCAGGTAAGATGCCCAGGCTAGGGTCCTGTTACTTTTTTTTTTCTTTTTTCTTTTTCTTTCTTTCTTTTTTTTTTTTTTTTTTTTTTTTTGGTTTTTCGAGACAGGGTTTCTCTGTATAGCTTTGCGCCTTTCCTGGAACTCACTTGGTAGCCCAGGCTGGCCTCGAACTCACAGAGATCTGCCTGGCTCTGCCTCCCAAGTGCTGGGATTAAAGGCGTGCGCCACCACCGCCCGGCTTCCTGTTACTTTGATTACATACAAACTTTGTGCTGGACCAGGCACACGACAGAGGAGGACACAAGGTCATGTGTACAAACAACTCTACAAGTGTCCTGCAGTCAACAGTGATCATCATCCAGAACATGACCAGTCAGTCCCAAGGCTGCCCTGCTCAGTCTCCCTGCTAGCCACTATCCCTGCTCCTCAGGACAACCTCCTGATTTTATCCATCTTTGAGCTTTATATAAATGGAATTGCAGAAACCAAACACAGCAGTACCTGGCTTTGTTCACTTGGCCTGCTATTTGCTGTTACAGGGAGTAAAAATGTATTTATTCCAGCTTACTAAGTATAAGTCTGTTGACTCAGTGAATTGCCCAGCATGCATTTACTATGAATGGAGGTTGATTCTGAGGTCCTATCTTTTTGCTAGATTACTTTTTTCCCTTCCCCCCTCTCCCCTGCCCTCCCCTCTCCTCAGTGCTGGGGACAGACCCAGGGCCTCATACATGCTAGGCAAGTACTCTACCATTGAACCACATCCCTGGCCCCCTCCTTTTAAAAGACTTTTGAAAATGTACGTGTGTGTGCATGCGTGTATATGTATGCCCCCTGTGTGTGGGTGTCCACAGAAGCCAGAGGAAGGTGGCTGTGAGCGCCTTGATATGGGTGCTAGGAACTGAACTTGGGTCCTCCTGAAGAGCATCAAGATCTCTTAGCCATTGAGCCATTTCTCCAGGGCAGCCACCCTACCCCCTTCTTTTCCTATCTCTTTGGTGACTAAAATCTTTATTACACTTATTTTCTGGGGGGTCAGGGGGAGCCACTGTGGACATGCAGCGGTCACAGGAGTCAGTTCTCAGATGGTCCTGCAGATCTACTCAAGTCGCCTTGGTAGCAAGGACCTTTACCCACTAAGCTCTCTTGCCAGCCCATAATTTTGCATTTTAAAGCAACTGTTTGTGGTTTTGAAATCATTTTGATGAGTTTTTGAGAAGCTTAGTCTTAATACCCAGGATATGCTACCTAGAAAAACTAAAATGGCAAAAATGTCCACAATTTGCAGAGTATTCTTGCGAAAGCAGCACAGAAACATTGGAGGCAAATACAAAAGTAAGGGGACACCTTGTGTCCCTGCTTACCACTTTGTGCCAGTACCTCTGTAGATGGTCTTGAGTGGTGATCTTCAGTACAGTCGTCACATGCAGCAGCCATGTGGGCATGTGGCTCAGCGGTAAGGCACTTGCCTTAGCAGGCAGCACAGGCTTCATCTCCAGGACAGGATAGAAACAAAACAAAATTCCCGAGAGAAAATTTAAAAATTAAATGAATAAAAACGACAGAGGATTGGGCAGAGGTTTCTTGGGTGCAGTTACTCATTTAGATGCTTGTGTCTAGTTGCATCCTGGAAGCACCCTCCTAAACCCCCATATGCCCTCCCCTGCGCTTCTTTTTCACCCCTTTTGCTTTGTGTTGTAGCTGTTGTTGGACAGCGTCTTCCTCGTGGATGGTATTCCCAGTCTGTTTGCTGGATACTTTGTTGCTGCTCCCTACCCTTTGTATTCCTGAATAGTGTGTCTTCTTCATGCACTGTATTACCTACCAGTCCATTTGCTGGATACTTTGTTGCTTGCCCCTGCCCTGTGTGCTCAGCACAGATAGGTGGTCGTCTGTAGAACCAGATAGCAATAGGATTCCCACTCCAAAGGTCCTTATTGCCTAGTGAGGAAGAATTAACCAACGCGGCAAGCCTGTGACTAGGATATGACAAACAGAAGAGGGACCTGAAAGAAAGATACATAGTTTCTATCAACAAGGAACTTGTCCTAGATCTTGAAGAGGCTCAGCTCATAGACAAGGAACATGGTAGGTTCAAGGAACTGTGCAGAGCGTTGAGGCTGGGCTGCAGAGCATGGGGTGGTTTGGTTTTCATCCTGAGAGCAGATTCCCATGCATGGCACTGCACAGTACTATAGCAGCTTCAACTCATGCTTTGCTGCTTGGGCGTGAGATGGCTTCTTAAACAAGTGGACAGCCCCATGTCGAGTCCCCTCCTTGTTTCATCCTGAAGAGTGTGCTGGGATCACACAGGTGGTAGAGCAGTGGAACTGTTTCAGAAGGCTTTGCGTAACAGCCATTCACAAAAATAGTGTTTTCACGTGCCTACTCATTCATCTTTGCAACAGGCAGTCATTGCGTGGTGGCAATGCACCCTGGTAAGGCTGGGTCCAGGGTGCAAGGTTGACTCACCTGGGCCTCACTCTCCCGTGGACAGACCCTGTTATGGAGCTGAGGCCTGGTGGGGACCTTTTGTAGTGTTCCTCGGGCCTCTCCCCATGGCTGTCCTCTGCTTGTGCCCCTCCCTTTAGCCATCTGACTTCAGAGAGCTGCTGGAATGGGAGCCCAGGATCCGGGAGGCCTTCCGTGCTGGTGACTTGGACTCCAAGCCTGACCCTAGTCGGAACTTCCGGCCTTATCGAGCTGAAGATAATGATTCCTATGCCTCTGAGGTGGGTCAAGGCCTAAGCTGGAGGTTGGATAGAAGGAGATGGTCTGGGGCCTCTCAAAACCAGGGTGATCCCTGGAGGGTGATGGTATGGGCTTTGAGCATTCCGTTTGGTTTTAAGCTTCCTGACAACCAGGAGTGGGGGGGAAAAAGAAGAGAATTTGAATCAATCCCATGGTCTAGTAAGAGAAAGCTGGACATGGTGTGTACCTGTAATGCCAGTGTTAGGATGTTGAACTGAAGGCCATCATAAAATGTCTAGTGTACATACCAGAGAGGCAATGGTGTAGCTGGAAGTTTCTCCTGCCTGTACCATCCCCCACCCCCCACCCCCGACCCCGCACGCTATGGGACAAATCTCTCCCACCCGCGTCCTGCAGCTGCTTGGTCCTAAGTAAACACACAGAGGCTTAATATTAATTACCAATTGCATGGCCTATGGCAGGCTTCTTGCTAGCTAGCTCTTTTATCTTATTAACCCATTTCTATTAATGTATGTTTTGCGTGTTCTGTGGCTTTACCAGTCTGCTGGCATATTGCTCCTTGGGTGGCAGGCTCGAGTCTCTCCAGACCCCTCTTTTCTCTTTCCTGTCTCTCTCCTTGGATTTCCTGCCTGTCTCTAAGCTGCCTTGCCATAGGTCAAAGCAGCTTATTTATTAACCAATGGGAACAACATGTATTCACAGCATAACAGAAAGACATCCCCCAGCACAATGGTCTCTCCATTCTGGCTGAGTTCAGGTTGTGAATCTCTTGTGTGCTGGCTGTGAGATCTTGGATATGTCACTTTGCTTCCTTATTTGTAGGGTTTGTGGCCTTAAGAACAGAGCCCCTCATAGGGTTGTTGACAGGGGTAGATACATAAAAAGCGTTAGCTTAAGGCCTGGCCTCTATGGGTGAGGATGAGGACAGTGTCCATGACATGTCACTCGGACTTAGGGGACCTGAGTGAAATATCACTCTGATGGTCTGGTGGTATGACCTTGGATGCATTCACATCCTGTGGCCCCAGCTTTCCCACCCACAACATTGATGATCTAGAGTTCTCTGGTCTTTGAAAAGTTCCCTGTCTTGAGGGACCTTGAGCCTGGGATGCTCCCTGGAAACTGAGGCAGTCTGGACATTCTAGTAGGGGAAGGGGGGAAAAAGGAAAAACAGTGTCTGGGGGGTAACTGAGCTGTAGCCCTGTGCACTTAGTATACCGAAGACCTTAGTTTTGATCCCCAGTGGGGAGTTGGACAGACAGAGAAGGGCAAGGAGAGAGGAGGAAGAAGAAAAACCCTGAGATACTTAGATCTCATTTTCTGAGAAGAAATGAGCTTGTTTGTGTGAGCTTGTTTACACATTTAATCGGTTTCATTCATCCTTCCTGAGCAGTTACTATTGAAACGTGGCACCAACCCTGAGTTCAAGGAGTGTGTGTGAGGGTAGCAGCCTGACTTCTTCTAAAGAGTTGTTGGTTTGCTGAGCCAGGGTCTCAGGATGTAGACCACATTTACCTCAAACTTAGCATCTTCCTGCCTCCAACTTCTTAGTGCTGGGATTACAGGCACATGACACTTTGCCCAGCTCTGCAGAAATTTTAATACAGAACAGGTGTACAAGACATGCCTCAAATCATTGCAGAGACAGTGCCAAGTTATCCTATTATTGGCCACATAATTTTTTCTCACAGCAGGACACCTGCCATGCCTGGGACCATTTCCATGTTCCTCTTCCCGAACAGTGTGTTAGAATAAACATTCCCGTTACCAGAAATACGCAATACTTTTCTTTCTTTGAGATGGAGTCTCACTGTGTTGTTCAGGCTGGTCTCAAATGCACAGGCTCAGGTGACCCTCCTGCCTCATGCACCTCTTCATTTCGTCCGGCTAAAACCTTCGTGACTGGAGTAAACAACAGAGTATCGATGGGGCGGAGCTACAGCCCAGTGATGAAGCTCTTGCTTAGCATGTGTGGGGCTTTGAGTCCAGTTCCCAGCATCCACACACACACACACAAATAGGGAAGGGAGAGAGAGGGAGAAGGGAAGATGGACAGGTGCTTACAAACTGAACACCTTGTTCCCCTTTGGTGCCCTGTGACAGGGTCTTGCCATGTTGCCCACGCTGGCCTCAAGCGCACGATCTTCCTGTTTTGTAAATTAGCCTCTAGATCCGCCAGCAGACTCTAGAAAGTTCCTTCTGTGTTCCCTTCTAGTCTCTAGCTGGACTTACAAAAGAACAGGTTTTAAAACACTTTTTACATTTATTCATTTAGTGTGTGGGTGTGTGCACATTGGGCTGCAGCATGCACGCATACTCAGAGGACATCTTGTAGGAGTTGGTCCCTCTCCCTCCCACCATGGGGATCCTGGGAATCAAACTCAGGTCCTGATGCTTGTCTGCAAGAGCCTTTATTGGCTGAGCCATCCTGCTGGGCCAAGAACACATCAGCTTTGCCTAATTAGTTCTAAATGCTTTTTTTTTTTTTTTTTGGTTTTTCGAGACAGGGTTTCTCTGTGTAGCTTTGCGCCTTTCCTGGAACTCACTTGATAGCCCAGGTTGGCCTCGAACTCACAGAGATCCGCCTGGCTCTGCCTCCCGAGTGCTGGGATTAAAGGCGTGCGCCACCACCGCCCGGCCTAAATGCTTTTAAAACACCATTTCCCCCAGAAACTGGAGAATTTGGTTAACTTTTTTTTTTAATGATCTTGTGCCATAGTCATTGTAAGCCACAATAAGTACAATTAGACCCCTAAGCAGCATTACATGAAGATATAAAGAAAGTTAAGATCATTAGGTAGTTAACCATGTTGATAGTTAATGTGTTTCTGTTATGTAATAATACACAAAGACAGTATCTGTAAATGTACAGCTGAATGGATTTTTACACATATAGACCCATTAAACACATTTTAGATCTCATTATTTATTATTTAAATTGCTTCTAAATTTTTATATTAATTAAATGTATTCATTTATTTTTATTATTATTATCCAGACCACAGTTTCTCCTCCCTCCCGTCCTTCCATTCCCTCCCCCACTTCCCCCAGCCCCCTCTTCCACCACTGCCATCCACTTCTCTGTTTCTGTTCAGAAATGGTCAAGCCCCCCGTGGGTGTCAACAAAGCATGGCACATCACGTTGAGACAGGACCAAGCTCCTCCCCTTGTATTAAGGCTGGGCAAAGCAACCTAGTATGAGGGATAGGTTCCCAAAAGCCAGCCAAAGCTTTGGAGACATCCCTTGCATCCATTACTAGGAGTCCCGAAAGTAGACCAAGTTATACAACTGACACATACATGCAGAAGGCCTAGTCCCATGTAGGCTCCCTGGCTGTCCATCCAGAGTCTGTGAGCTCCTGTGAGCTCAGATCAATTGTTTCTGTGGGTTCTCTTGTGATGTCCTTGACCACACCCATACACACACACACACACACACACACACACACACACACACACACACACAGCGGCTCATACAATCCTTCCTCCTTCTCTTCAGCAGGATTCCCTGGGCTTGGCCCAGTGTCTGTATCTGTGTCCATTGATTACTGGATGAAGGCTCTCTGATGACAATTGGCGTAGTCACCGATCTATGAGTATATTGTTAGGAAGAATATTGTTAGGCATCGTTATGTTGACATTTTTTTCTCCAGTCGTGTATGGAAAGATCTCCCCATGCTTATGAATCGGTAGGATTAACATAGTAAAATGGCCATCTTACCAAAAGCAATCTACAGATTCAGTGCAATCCCCATCAGAATTCCAACATAATTCTTTACAGACCTTAAAAGAGCAATATTCAACTTCATATGGAAAAACAAAAAACCCAGGGTAGCCAAAAAAATCCTGAACTTCCGAAGCTGTCACCATCCCTGATCTGAAGCGCTACATCCCTGATCTCAAGCTCTACTACAGAGCTGTAGTATGGTAGTGGCATAAAAACAGACAGGTGGATCCATGGAATCAAAGACCCCGACATAAATGCACACACCTATGGGCACCTGATTTTTGACAAAGAGACTTCTAAACCTTTAATTATAAACAATGAAATTGCATGTGGTGGCAGCTCCTATAGCCCCAGCTACTTGGGAGGCTGAAGCAGGGGGATGCCTTGAGCTCAGGAGTTTGAGACCAGCTAAAATACTGAGGCCGAGTCAAAAGACCAGAAAATTACTGAAGACCAGAAAAATACTGAGGCCGAGTCAAAAGTAAGTAAATCAAGCGATTAAAGAGACTATGAACAACTTTGTGAATCAAATTTAGTTCCCACGGTATATTTTTTTTCTGCAAATAAATTTGCAAGAGAGAAATGTTAAAAATTATTCTGTGGAGGGTTTGACATGGACTGTTTCATTTAACGGTCACAATGACTCTGAGGCAAGGACACCGGGTCCAGCTGACTGTTGGTTCTCTGCTCCTGCCGTTCTTTGACCACAGCCTGTGTCCTCTCTCCACTCCTTGTGTGGCCCCCACCCCACTGCAGATCAAAGAGCTTCAGCTGGTCCTGGCGGAGGCCCACGACAGCCTCCGGGGCTTGCAGGAGCAGCTGTCCCAGGAGCGGCAGCTCCGGAAGGAGGAGGCAGACAGCTTCAACCAGAAGGTGGTCCAGGTGGGTTTGTACCACATTTTATTTCACCTGCTACACCTTCTCCCAGGACTGAAGATGCAGAGGCCATGGTGTAGCTCTGTGGTAGAGCGCTTGCCCAGCGTGTGGGAGGCTCGGGGTCCTGTCCCTAGCAGAAGCAGCCACTAGTTCTCACGTCTACAAAATCCTCAGCCTAGAGAGTGAGTTCCTGTTTCCTCACGCCTCATATACCTTGCTCTGCCCAGACATCACTTCCTGGGATTAAAGGTGTGTGTGCTTCCCAAGCAAAGGCATGAGATCTCAAGTGCTGGGATTTAAGGTGTGTGCCACCACTGCCTGGCACTGTGTCTAATTTAGTGGCTGGTTCTGTCCTCTGATCCTCAGGCAAGTTTATTAGGGTGCACAAAGATCACCACAGGCCAGGGTGTCACCGAGTTTGTGATTGTTAGCTCTAGTCTGGGCTGGGACCTCTGCACATGATATTGGCTGCCTAGATGACATTGGCCTGTTTAATCTCTTTGGATTTTGCTCTGTTTTGTTTGAGACAGTGTCTCTCTCTGCTGTTGATTGTTTTTTACTCTTTGAATCTTTTGGAAGCCTACCACCAGCTCCCAAATAAATCACACACAGTCTTTCTCTTTTTTTATGAATGTCCGGCCTTAGCTTGGCTTGTTTCTAGCCAGCTTTCCTTAACTTAAATCATCCAATCTACCTTTTGCCTCTGGTCATTTACCTTTCTCTATTTCTGTATACCTTTCTTTACTTCTTAACTCCATGGTTTGCCATGTAGCGGAGGGGCTGGCCCCTGGTGTCCCCTCTCTTTCCTTTCTTGTTCCTTAATCTTCCTTTTCTCTCTTTTTCTCCTATTCTCTCTGCCTGCCAGCCCCGCCTATCCTTTCTCCTGCTTGCTATTGGCTGTTCAGCTCTTTATTAGACCAATCAGGTATTTTAGAAAGGCACAGTAACACAGCTTCACAGAATTAAACACATGCATCACAAAAAGAATGTGTTAATCATTAAAAGAATGCAACACATCTTTGCATCATTAAACAAATGTTCCACAGCATTAAAATAATATTCTACAACATCTCTCTCTATGTAGCTCTGGCTGTCCACTCAATATGTAGAGTGGGCTGATTCGAACTCACAGAAATCTGCCTGCCTCTGTCTCCCAAGTGCTGGGATTAAATGCATGTGACACCATGACTCTCAGTTTCATCTCTTTAAAAAATTTTTTAAAAGATTTTTTTTTATTTTTAATTACACATATATATGTGTGGATATGTACACGTCAGTGCAGGTGTCTGTGGATCTGCCTGATGTGGGTTCTGGGAACTGAAACCTATCATGGACTTTGTTAGACCAGCTCCCATGATCTGCTCAGGGTAATGAAAGGAATGCCTCAGAATATCGAGGGGTAGGGAACTTTTATCCGAGGGTAATTAGGAACAAGTTTTAGTCTATCCATCACATTTTATTCATTCATTCTTTCACCCATTTACTTCCTCACACTTCTCTCATGCTTCTTCTTCATCTCTCACCCAACACACACACACACACACACACACACACACACTTCACTCATATTCTGTAGCAGCTCTTGTCTCGAAATGTCGCAGCACAGGTGTGTGGGTTCACATGACTCCATGGAAAGAAGATTCAGAGGCGCCTTAAGAATGAATTTAGCTTTCGAGGCTGCAGGGGAATCCAGCCTCTCTAACTCAAGGCTCTAGAGACTGACCCCTTTCCCTTTACCTTGGGCATTTTTATATCTCTCAATATTTACAGTTTAGCCAGTTGATTTCCACATGCTCAAAACAACCTAAAAGGAGCTCCCAACAATACAATGCCAAGTGCAAATTCCTCAGTTTCTCAGTTACCACAGTTTGCTGGGTTTCCTGAACCAAGTTTTGCATAGGCCTTGTATCCTTAGGCGGCTCTGAGACAAGATTCACATAGGACAAACAAAAGGTATCAGTTAAACAAAAGATGGATTAGGGCTAGGTGCTACTCTCTGGAGCCACTCCTGGGGAGCTCAGCAGGGATACAGCCACAATAAACAATTGGCTGAACCTTGAGTGGTACCTGCAGAAAGGGAGCTACTGCAAGGAAGGACTGTGTCTTGATGTAAACAGCCTGGCCTTGATTTAACAATAAACAACACCTGGGAATTAGTCTTTGTGTATATTCTGTAGGGGAGGCTTAATCTGTTTTGGACTTGTTCTAAAGTCTTTGCAAAATGTATGAAAGGCTGTCTTTGAGACTGAGAATACTGCTACTTTCCTGTGTCAGTAAAGAAGAATATTCTGGTAATATTTCTGTTCATCGGAATTATACAGCTTAAACAGAAATCCACAGCTAACTGTGTGCCCAGAGATGTAAAACACACCACCAAAGGGCCGTGGAAAGCACCCCACAGCTGTTCTTGTAGGGAGGTATAATGGTGGCACATGAGAAAGTTACAGACAGAAAGCAGCCCGTTTCCACAGCCAGTGACCCCACGGCCTTGCCAGGTAGGGCTCCCCATCAGAGAGTTATAGGTCTGGTGGGTCGACTCGTCAAACATCAGTTGTCACCTGCTGTATACTCCCACGGCCCTCAGCAGAAACCGGGTCCTCGGGAAGAGCAGCCAGTGCTTTTAACCACTGAGCCATCTCTCCAGCCTGTTTCAACTCTTGGCCTCAGTTTCCTGTTTTTGAAATGGTGCTTCTATCAAACCGGGCTATGGATCAGTTTGATAGTTTGATAATAGCATTTATTAATGGTGAGATGGGTAAAGACACTAGTCACCAAGCCTTACAACTTAAGTTCCATCTCCAGGACCCGTACAGTGGGAGAGAACTAACCTCTCTAGTCCTCTGACCACCATGCACATGCCAAGGCACCTGTGCCCACCTGTACACATACAAAATAATAAGAAAATGTAAAAAAAAGAAAGAAAGAAAGAAAGAAAGAAAGAAAGAAAGAAAGAAAGAAAGAAAGAAAGAAAGAAAGAAAGAAAGAAAGAAAGAAGCAGACCTTCCCGAATGGCCCGTGTAACACACGCCCCACATATTGTATCCTGTAATCCTCATACTCTTCCCTATGAGGTCCCCCACTTTACCGATCTGGAAGCTGCTGCGGTGATGGTGCAGGGTAGGACGTCCTGCAGAGGCAGAAGGATTACAGATTTGGAAACAGAGCTCACAGAGCAGATGTGCTTTGCTGAGAGCTGTACATCCCGGGCCTGTGGCTCCCTTAGCCGTGACCTTAGGATAGTTCATGTTACTCAGCCTTTCTTGACCCCAGCATACCTCTGCTCTGCACCTCGCCCTCTCTACGGTCCCCACTTAACGTCATAGTTCCCAGACCAGTGTGAGTACAGGGGAGGCATCTGACGCCCGGTAGGTACTCAGTCATGGTGGCCAGAGGTCATTCCTCAATGTGAGTACATGGGAGGCATCTGATGCCCGGTGGGTGCTCAGTCATGGTGGCCAGAGGTCATTCCTCAAGCTGATTTCCCAGTGTTTTGAGTCAGGATCCCCCTCTGGCAACAGGGCTCACTGATGACAGGAGGCGGGCTGGCTGAGCTTTTGTATGTGCCTTCTGGATGAACTAAGGTCCTTATGCTTGTGTGGCAGGCACTGTACTGACAGCTCTCTCTCCAGCCTACTGGGCTGCTTTGGGTAGAGGCCCTGGCAGGGGTCACCAGCAGGCACTTGACATTAGTGTCCCCCCTCTGCCTTTGATCTGGGTCTGAAATCAACGGGGGGCCTCCCTTGCTCACGCCTGTCCTGACAGCTAAAAGAAGACCAGCAGAGGGCGCTGCTGAGGCGGGAGTTCGAGCTCCAGAGTCTGAGCCTCCAAAGGAGGCTGGAGCAGAAATTCTGGAGCCAGGAGAAGAACATCCTGGTGCAGGAGTCCCAGCAGTTCAAGCACAACTTCCTGCTGCTCTTCATGAAGCTCAGGTGGTTCCTGAAGCGCTGGCGGCAGGGCAAGGTCCTGCCCCACGAGGAGGATGACTTCCTGGAGGTATGGCTGAGCTTAGTCCTAGCCCTGAGCGGGAAGAAGGGGGCATGGGGCGTGAGTTCTGCTTCTCTCCCCAACAGTGCCGGGTTGGGGGGTGGGGTGGGTCACCGTTAAGGTGTGGGACGTCAGTGACAGGCGTTGGTTCCTCCTGAGCTGCTCATCCTTCCCACATGGCTGCGCAGTCCCCTTTCTACCTGGGCGGCTTGGCAGTGTCCTTACCTTCTGAAGGCTGAGGCTGTTGAATCCGGTTTCTCAAACCAGGTAAACAGCATGAAGGAGCTGTACCTGCTCATGGAGGAAGAAGAGATGAACGCCCAACACTCGGATAACAAGGCCTGCACAGGGGACAGCTGGACCCAGAACACGGTGGGTTCAGCCCCTTCTGGTCCGACTCGTGTGTACCGTGTGTACCTCATCCATTAATGATCACTTCCGGCTGTCTTCTCACACAGCCCTGATGGGACACGGGAGCTGCAGATGGTGATTGGCTGGGAACTGGCCCGCCAGTTGCTCAGGGCTAGGGGGACGTGAGTCATCCGGGGTGGTGACAGAAGAGCAGATGATCTGTGAAGTACAGGAAGAAGAGCAGTGAATTTGTTATATAGGGAGCAGTGTTACAGAGAAGGGGGTCACGTGTAGTGAGCTTCCATGGATGAATAGGGGCTTGTTAAATTCAGAAAGGAAAACAGACCATACTGAACCAAGAGGACTGTGTGTACAGAGGTGTGGCAAGATGTGCTGGAGTAGCTGTGACCAGTGGGACCCTGGGAGAGGGTAAGGATACCAGGCCAGGGTCACATGAAGAGAGGCCTTTATGGTCTAGAAATAAGAAAGAACTGTCAGATCAACCCACAGGTCAGAGGGAGCCATGGAGTCCGTCAGCCTCAAAGGGTTCTACAGTGAGCCGGGGTGTGGCTGAGCAGTGTGTAAGGAACCAGGAAAAGGGAGTACCATTTGAGAGGCTCCATGGAGGCCTCAGCTTAGAGAGGCAAGAGAGCTGTAGCCTGGGGCCTGCCAAGCCTGGGGAAGGTTGTTTCTCTCCATCTGGGCAGAACTGCTGCTCATGTGACAGTACATTGCATGTGGGACGTGCTGCTCAGCCAGGCTACCCCAGGACTGGCCTTCACCCCCATTTTACTGGAGAGGACCTGAAGAGGGTTCTCTGAGGCTGGTAGGGCCCAGGCTGGACTCCTGGGTGAGTCAGCAGCACCAGGGCTGCCCTCCCTGCCTTCACAAAGCTCTTGAGCAGGTCTTACTCTGTCTGCAGCCTAATGAGTACATCAAGACCCTGGCTGACATGAAGGTCACACTGAAGGAGCTGTGCTGGCTGCTCCGGGACGAGCGTCGCGGTCTGACTGAGCTTCAGCAGCAGTTTGCAAAGGCTAAGGCCACATGGGAGACGGAGCGGGCAGAGCTCAAGGGCCATGCGTCACAGGTAAGCCTCCTTGCTTCTCAGGGACGTCTCTCCCTGGTTCCCAGCCCAATTCTAGACCGTCAGATCGGGGAGGAGGGTCCTAAGCTGTGCTCTTGGGTGCACAGGACCCCTTACACTTCACCTTGTGCCCCAGAGAGATAGAGAGATAGAGAGATAGGCTGAACTGTGGGCTCGCAGAATGCTCCCACACCTGCCTGCACGCCACATCCAACATGGCTCTGGGCTAGACCTGACTAGGATGTCAAGAGAATGAAGAAAAGACAGAGGGACACAAGGAGACACAGAAAGCTGGGATTGGGTGATCTGGGCTCTCTGTTGGAGAAACCACAATGCTCTGGAAGCTTAGCCTTTTTATTATGTAGTTGGTTAGAGCAGAGAGACACAGGCAGGGTTATTAATACATATTAAATAGGCAGGGGCTGAGTGATGGTGGCGTACACCTTCAATCCCAGCACTCAGGAGGCAGAGGCAGGCAGATCTCTGTGAGTTCAAGGCCAGCCTGGTCTACAGAGTGAGTTCCAGGACACCCAGGGCTTTACAGAGAAACCCTGTCTTGGAAAAAAAAAAAAAAAGAGTTGATAAATGGCATGGTTATCAGTAGCTGGGGGGCTCTGCCTATTGTAGCCAGATGTGGAATGTTTAGCCCCTTGGAGCCCCTCCGAGGGACGGGATGTAGCACTTGGCTTACAGAGGTTTAGGAAGGGAACATTAGTGCAGGGTCTGGCTTGTATGCAGAAAGGGGTCCTCAGCTCTGTTGAAGGGGGATCAGCACGGAGGGTCCCCAGAGCCTCCCTGGTATAGGTGTGGAGCCAGTGTGCCCTCCACGACCCAGCTGACGCTTCTTCCTGCAGATGGAGCTGAAGGCTGGGAAGGGTGCCGGCGAGCGGCCCGGGCCCGACTGGAAGGCTGCGTTGCAGCGGGAGCGGGAAGAGCAGCAGCACCTCCTGGCCGAGTCCTACAGCGCCGTCATGGAGCTGACGCGGCAGCTGCAGATCAGCGAGCGCCACTGGAGCCAGGAGAAGCTGCAGCTGGTGGAGCGGCTGCAGGGCGAGAAGCAGCAGGTGGAGCAGCAGGTGAAGGAGCTGCAGAACCGCCTCAGTCAGGTGAGGCTGGATCCGGGGGCTCAGGCGGCGAAGGAGCTCGGAGAGAGGCGTGAGAACCAGGCCTTTCCTCGGCCTCAGTCTTTCAGGCCCCTCGCCTCTGTTCACGCCACTCTTACGCATGCCAACCTCACATAAGGCCGTCATTTCCTGCTCGTAGCTCACAGCTTAGCAGTTGCAATAAGAACTCCCCCCCCCCCAAGTTCTCAGTGGCCAGGTGTCAGTCATGATAGGCCCATTATGAGGGCCTGTCAAAACCAGGACCCGTAAGTGATTGAAGTACCGAGAGTGATTCCCATAGGAAAACTGGAGTCCTCTGGAGGAGGGAGACCAAGACCTACGTACTGCAGAAACGATACTCCATCTGGCTCCCTCCCGTTGCGCTGTGTGGGTTTACGCCTGCGGAGGGTTTTCTGTTCGTTTCCTGCATGCACACTCGCCTCTCCCATGCAGAGCCTCCGCAGTGTAGCTGCTGCTTCACCCCAGCATTCATTATCCCACACAGACAAAATCCAGGCACCGTGTTTTCACTAGGGAGCGGGCGATGTCTCACAGCACTTGCCTAGCATGCGTGGAACCCTGGCTTGGATTCTCAGCACCACGGGAACCAAGCGTGGCGCCTCATGCCTGTCATCTTTTGGGAGGTAAAGGCAGGAGAATTAGAGGTTCATGGCCATCATCCTCAGCTAGTTAGTGAGTTTGGAGCCAGCCTCGTTTACAAGGAACCCTGTCTCAAAACAACCAAACAAGCAGAAAGTAGCCCCCTAGTGGGATCTACACAGGAGCGTGTGTACAGTATCACGACGCTACATTCAAGGGCACTCGAGTGTTCAGTGATTGAAAAGCTGGTCTCAGAAGGGTTTTCCCTTGGCCTTCCAGCCCCATATCGTGGTGCACGTGTGTGTGTCCCCGCTGTAAGCAGAGCGTTATGCAGACCTGCTTTGCTTTTTCCTTGCCAATTTCCAAGACTCCCTAATCTTTGGGCTCACCTGATGAGGGTTATCATCTCTCCAAGAGTTACCTTCATTGTATGTCTTCTCAGAATGCAAAATGCAATCTCCAACCCCCTCAACCTTGGAAGGTCACTTTGCAGATGAGCAAAATGACCCAAAATGTCCTGTTTCTCACATCTGGCAGATTAAAAAAAAAAAAAAAAAGATTATGTGGATGAGTGGTTTGCTTGCATGTATGTATATGTACCATGTACATACCTGATGCCTTCAGGCCAAAAGAGGGTGTTGGATTTCTTGGAACTGGAGTTACAGATGATTGTGAACGGCCATGTGGGTGCTGGGATCTGAGCCTGAGTCCTCTAGAAAAGCAGCAAGTGCTTTTAATGGCTGAGCCATCTCGCCAGCCCTAACATTTGGTGTGAACTGACCTCTTGCAAGGGACCAGGTTTCCTCTAGGGTCACACTCACTAGCTACAGAACATCACATTTCTGAGGCTCACGTTTCATTGTTGTCTGTATGTGGCAAGTTCAGGCTGGTACACCCGCAAATTAAAGCACATTCCCTGGGACTTGTGGCATGCTGATCAGAGCACCCTTTGCACCATCTGGCCACTTCCTGTGTATAGAATGATTCCTTGTTGTTCCATTAACATTATTTTTTAATGATTTAGAAATCATTAAGCCAAATCCATGCCATGCTTAATGGGGTATCAGCAAATCCACAGCTGGGACCTGCTGGCTCATAGGTGCTGAGTCCTGTGCTTGGTGTCCCAGCAGGGACCTTGTGTGGAATTTGCTAGCTTCCTAGATCTGTTCTCTGGCTTCCCTCAGTTCAAACCAGGACACCCAAAGCTGCATCCTCTTTCTCTTATTTTCTCCCTCCTTCCTCCCTTCACCCTTTCCTTCCTTTTTTGTTTTGTTTGTTTTGAGACTGAGTCTCTGTGTATCTCACTTAGTAGTTGTCCCAGACCAGCCTGGGATGCTCAGTTCTTCCTCAGCCCCTCCAGAGCTAGGATCACAGGTGTCAGCCCCACATCCACGTAAGTTGTGTTCTCAGTGAAACCAGCCAGGTCAAACAGCCTGCAGAGCAGCAGGAGGGGTGTCTGAGTCAGTGTTCTGTTGCTGTGAAGAGACACCATAACCATTGCAACTCTTGTAAAGGAAAACATTTAATTGGGGCTGGCTTACAGGTTCAGTCCGTTATCATCATGGTGGGAAGCATGGTGGCTCACAGGCAGACATGGTACTGGAGAAGTAGCTGAGAGTTCTAGATCCTGATCCAAAGGCAGCAAGAAAAGAGAATGACAGTGGGCCTGGCTTGAGCATTTGAAACCTCAGAACCCACCCCCAGTGACACACTTCCTCCAACAAGGCCACATCTACTCAGACGAGGCCACACCTCCTAATAGTGCCACTCCCTATGAGCCCGTGGGGGCCATTTTCATTCGGACCACGAAGGGGCTCCGGATCAGGAGGCCCAAGCCTAGTCAAGTCAGCCCTGATCTCTGGGGTTTGTCTACACAAGGAGGGTGGCTGTTCGTTCGTTCACTTTCTCATCTCTCAGGGCAGCCATGGGAATAAAAGAGCTACAAGAATGTAACCTTCCCCTAGGTCCCCCTGCCTGGGCTTAACCATCTTCATCTGTGATTTCTGTTCATTCGTGTTGAGGTGACCTTGGTTGCTCCCCTCACCCCCATTTTACTTATTCTTTGGGTTCCTAAGAAGCAAAGTTTGAGACATGGGTTCAAGTGCAAACAGGTGACCAGCCCATCCTGGCTTTGCTTTGGACTTCCGCTTTTCTCTTGGAACAGTCCTAGGCAGAACCTTCTTGCTTTTTCAGAACTGAAAGGTTTGGGGGAAGTAAGCCTTCCTAACACTGGGAAAACCCTGGGGAAACTCAGGTGAGTCACCCTGTGTGGGAGTCAGCTGCTGTGGAGGAAAATAAGCAAAGTGATGGTGCAGCTCTTGTAATCCCAGCTGCTAATTCATCTGCCCACATCTGGGCCAGTTTTTTCCTTTTGTTGTCTTTATCCTCTCACCTGCCACATGGGAATAATCACAGTCACACCTACTCCTGTGGTTGCGAGTGTTAATGAGGATTAAATGAACTGATATGTACATGCAATGGACTCCCCGGAAGTGATGGTGCCCCAGGGGTCACCTCAGGACTCAGCAGGAAGTAGTGCTGGATTGTTGTGGATGGCCCCCGTTGATGGCAGCATGGTCCCTTGTGTGAAATAGCTATTGCTTTTCTGCCTAGCTGTTCTATGACTCTACTATAGATTAATGCAGCAATAACAACTGTTGTAACAACTCCATTAACCATGTCAGGAAGATGCCTGCCAGTAGCTACTTGTAGTAACTGTTTTCCAAATCCACCTCTGGGGGCTCAGCTCTGCTACCCACTGAGAAGCTAATACTGGACCCATGACGTGGGTCCCGTGGGCTATAGAGTTGAGCCTGGGGAATGGCCCTGCTCAGAGTAGCCCTGCTTACCAGCGCACACTTTTTGCCTTTCTCAGTTGCAGAAGGCTGCTGAACCCTGGGTCCTGAAGCACTCAGACCTGGAAAAGCAGGACAACAACTGGAAAGAGGTGAGGGCATCCCTGCTACCCGTGTTCTGTTGGCTCCTGACTATACTAGAAAATTTCTTGCTTGTGGGAAATGTGGCCGAAGGCTGCTAACTCTGTCCCAAAAGCTATACCTTTCTCCTCACACTCCTGCCCATGGACTGGGGCCTGGGAAGGGTACTCTGCTGGGGCTGACTGCCTGTGCCTGGGGGAAGCCCAGGCCACTTCAGTTATGCCTCAACAGAAAGCAGGCTGTGTGATCTTAGGTGACTCACTCTCCCTCTCTGAGCTCCAGTTGTCTCATCACCCTGGCCTAGTCCTGAGTGGGGTCAGTCGGGTCACACTGGAGGAGTCTGTGTATAGATCCAGGGGCATTGTCCATAGAACACAGAGCCAAGTAACAGAGGTTACGTACAGGCCCTTCATATCGCCATTCCCTCCTCATGACGGCATAGTACTCGGGAAATGGGGCTACAGAAGGTAAATGCCCGTTCTGGGGAGCTGAGACACAGGATTTGTGGGGGTCACAGGGCTAGTGACGCAGTTCTCTTTACACACTGGTCACCAGAACTGACGCTTCTTGTCTCTCCCTTTGACAGACACGAAGTGAGAAGATCCACGACAAGGAGGGTGTTTCTGAAGCTGAACTTGGGGGAACCGGCTTAAAGAGGTGCTGGCCCCTCACCCCCCGCCCCCCGCTCTGCTTCCCCCATAGACCCTTGGCTTTGGCTCTCTGCACTCTCCTGCCCCATGTGTCCACTTCTGTCCCCATGAGGGTTGGGAGAGCCACCAGATGGTTTTTATCTCTGGAATCCTGGTCACTCGGGCCCTGGAAAGCTTGGGGCTATGAAGATTGCAGCGTGCAGTTTAATGTTGATGCCGGGTATGGAAAACTGGGGCCTCAGCTGCCCCTGCTGGCAAAGAAGCCGTTTGACTCCTTTGGGGAGTATCTTTTCCTCCCTGGAGTTTGAGTCATGGTAGATATCCATTTCTGAGGTTGTTGGGCAGTGTCCATTGGGCCCCGCCCAATGCTGTGGCCAAGGGGACGCCCAAGGATAGTGTCTCCACCATTAAGACCCTCCATGAAGGAAGTGACGGGCAATACAGAACATTCTAGAGTGAGGGGGTTACTGGGGTCAGAGAGCCAGGCTTCAATTCTAGCTCTGCCATTTCTAGCACTGAGGCCTTAGGTAGCTCCCTCTCTGTAGTGGGATAATTGGAGATGTCCCCAGAGTTGCCTAGTGACCAGTCATGTAAGCAAGCTCGACCTGGATGTAAGACACAGGATGAAGGCAGTGGGCCAAAGGAATTCCAAATGATTGATGGCAGATCTGGGGTACTGCCAGGTTAGTCAGCGGGCAGCTGGAGCTCAAGACTGCTGAGGAACCTGGGAGCTCGCAGAGGCTGAATCAGTCAATCCAAGCTACCCCAGTTAAGGTGTGAGAAGGCCACGTACTAACTCCAGATCCCACCCATTGTGTGCTAAGGGGGATTGAAGCGGCTGCTTCTGGCTTCCTCTGTCTAGAGGTTAAGTGTGGTCCTAGTGTTTGTGCCACCTGAATACATAAGGTAGCTGTATAGGGTGTTTGAGGGGGTGCCAGCAAGGCGCTCTATAAGAACAGGGAACCAGGCTTGGTCTCACATGCATATCCAGGTAAGTAGACTAGCCTGCTTGATGTGTGATTTTTCTACCAGTCCCATTTTCTTCTTCTTCTCTTCCCAGGACCAAATCGGTTTCCTCCATGTCTGAGTTTGAAAGTTTGCTTGACTGCTCCCCCTACCATGCTGGTGGAGATGCCCGGAACAAGAAGCTGCCCAACAGCCCCCCTTTTGCCTTTGTGAGTACTGAGCCAGTGGAGGCCGAGAAAGATGCCAAGGAAAAGCCTGGGCTTTCCACCCGGGACTGCGGCCGCATGGGTTCCCTGGCTTGCCAGGAGCCTGCAGGGAGGCAGATGCAGCGCAGCTACACTGCTCCAGACAAGACGGGCATACGAGTCTACTATAGTCCCCCGGTGGCCCGGCGCCTGGGTGTCCCTGTGGTCCATGACAAGGAGGGCAAGATCCTCATTGAACCGGGCTTCCTCTTCACCACAGCCAAGCCCAAGGAGTCAGCCGAGGCGGATGGGCTGGCTGAGAGCTCCTACAGCCGGTGGCTTTGCAACTTCTCCCGGCAGCGACTGGATGGAGGATCCGGGGGCAACGCCTCGGCTTCCGGATCTGCTTTCCCCGCAGCCTTGCGTGACTTTGAGATGTCGGGCAACATGAGCGACGACATGAAGGAGATCACCAACTGTGTGCGGCAGGCCATGCGCTCCGGCTCCCTGGAGAGGAAGGTGAAGAGCACATCCAGCCAGACGGTGGGCGTGGCCAGCGTGGGCACGCAGACCATTCGGACGGTCAGCGTGGGCCTGCAGACTGACCCACCCCGCAGCAGCCTCCATAGCAAGAGCTGGTCCCCCCGCAGCTCCTCGCTCATGTCAGTGCGCAGCAAGCAGATCTCCTCCTCCCTGGACAAGGTCCATTCGCGCATCGAGCGGCCATGCTGCTCGCCTAAGTACGGCTCCCCCAAGCTCCAGAGGCGATCGGTGTCCAAGCTGGACAGCACCAAGGACCGCAGCTTGTGGAACCTGCACCAAGGCAAGCAGAACGGCTCGGCCTGGGCCCGCTCCACCACCACACGGGATAGCCCCGTGCTGAGGAACATCAACGATGGGCTGTCCAGCCTCTTCAGCGTGGTGGAGCACTCGGGGAGCACGGAATCTGTCTGGAAACTGGGCATGTCTGAGGCCCGAACCAAGCCCGAGCCTCCCAAGTACGGCATTGTGCAGGAGTTCTTCCGGAACGTGTGTGGCCGGGCCCCGAGCCCCACCACCGCAGCGGGAGAGGAGAGTTCCAAGAGACCAGAGCCTCTTTCCCCAGCCAGCTACCATCAGCCTGAGGGTGTAGCCAGGATTCTGAATAAGAAGGCAGCCAAGGCAGGCGGTAGTGAAGAGGTCAGACCCACCATGCTCTCCCAGGTGGGGAAGGATGGTGTCCTTCGGGATGGAGATGGCGCCTTGATCCTCTCCAGTGAGGTATGGATGGTCTTTACCCTTCCGTCAGGGTGGGGGATTAGCCTAGGAAGTTCAAACTCTTCTGTTTTGCTTTGTGCTGTGTTACGCGCTTTTATTCTTTAAAGTCAGTCTCTTGTAGCCCCAGCTGGCCTTGAACTTTCTGTGTGGCTGAGGATGACCTTGAATTCCTGACCCCCTTGTCTCTACCTCCAGTGTGCTGGGATTATAGGTCTGTGCATGACACCTGGTTTATATGGTGCTGGAGATGGTATCCAGGGCTTTGTGCACGCTAGGCAAGCCTCTACCGACTGAGGTGTGTGCCAAGGCCCTCTTCTGGCTCTTAAACTCAGGGAAGATATTAGCTGTGTGTCTTAAAGCGTTCTTACACTGATCTGGGATGGACATGAACATCCCTGACTTGAAATAACACAGGCCTAGTGTCAAGAGATTAGTGGACATGGCCTAACCACTCACTTTGCCACGGCGCTGCAGAGATCTACAGCATCCCCCCAGAGGAGGGGTGTGCCTACCGAGTGGCTTGTGAGCTTCTAAGAGTCAGTTGTTAGCATTCTGCGTGCCTTGGTAGTTTAGGATTGCTGTAATAACAGGATAAATACCAGGGGGGAAAAAAGCTTTGAAAAGCTGCAAATCAGGGTTTTACCCACCCTCACTCTTTTTTTTTTTAAAAATTTTTATTTATTTATATTTTTTATATATGAGTGCTCTGCTTGTATACCTGCACACCAGAAGAGGGCATCAGATCTTATTATAGATGGTCATGAGCCACCACGTGGTTGCTGGGAATTGAACCCAGGTCCTCTGGAAGAGCAGCCAGAGCTCTTTACCCCTGAGCCATCTCTCCAACCCCCACCCTCACTCTTAGAAGACTGGTTATAACACATTCACCAACTGCCACTTCCCACCCCAACAAGACTTCATGTCTAAGTCGTCTAGGAAAGTCTTGCTGCACACCCCGCTCCCGATACCAGTTTTGTTGTGTTAGGGATTATTTGAACTTTAGTAAAGGAATGTGTCTAAATTGGAGAAGGGGAAGAAGTGGTCTCTGCAGGATGGTGGTCTCGTGGAACCCTAACGTGGGCCTGGCAGACTGCAGCATCGTCCTCTTCTCCTGCTTGAACTCTGTCTTCCCCTGTTTCTCCTCTCTTACCCTCTTCCTGGCTTCTTCTTTCTTTCTTTTTTTTTTTTTAAATATTTCAGTTTTATTGTATGTGCATTGGTGTTTTGCCTGCATGTATGTGTGTGTGAAGGTGTCTTAACTCACTGGAGCTGGAGTTACAGAGAGTTGTGAGCTACTGTGTGGGCGCTGGAAATTGATCCCTGGTCCTCTGGAAGAGCAGCCAGTGCTCTTACCCACTGAGCCATCTCTCCAGCCCCCTGGTTTTTTTCTCTTTTAGATTTATTTATTTTTATATTCATGTGTATGTATGTGAGTTCACTTGAGTCTTTTTGCATCACGTGTGTGAAAGTGCCTGTAGAGGCCAGATGATGTCGGGCCCCCTTCGACTGGAGTTACAGCACCTGGGAGCACCTGACGTGGGTGCTGTGCATGAACAGCTGGTACTCTTGTGTTTGATTTGCCCCTCACAATACTGCAAACACAGTGAACTTTCATCATAGAGAGAAAGGGATGATGGCTTGTAGATGTGTCACTTGCCTAGTAAGTGCAGAGCCAGGACTGACCGGAAAAAGCAGGTTTGACAACAGTGCTTTTGACTGTTTCTGTGTTCTGGTAACATTTACAAGAATGAACGAGCCGGGCATTGGTGGCGCGTGCCTTTAATCCCAGCACGTGGATCTTTGAGTTTGAGGCCAGCCTGGGCTACAGCCAGGACTACACAGAGAAATGCTCAAAACAAAACAGAAGACTGGATCTACCTAAATATACATTAAAAGTGGACTGGGAAATGCCCAGTCCTCCCAGGGGAGGAGGAAAGCATTGACCAGATGTGGTCGCACATACCCATAATCCCAGTCCTTGGGATTATGAGTAGCTGAGACAAAAACACCACAAGTTGAGGCCAGACCGCCCGGGCTGCATAGTGAATTCAAGGCCAGCTGGAGCTATGTAGTGTGGCTCTGTCACACAGAAGCAAAGACAGAAGTTAATTGGGGCCGAGGATGTCGCTCAGTGGTAGAGCCCCTGCCTGGCTTGCTCAAGGCCCTGGGTTCTATCTCTAGTGCTGGGGGGCGGGGAGTGAATTGGAAGGTATTTATTTCCATTCAGCCGAATACTATAGAGCCATTAAAACAGAGACCCAGGGGCTGGAGAGATGGCGCAGTAGTTAAGAACACTGGCTGCTCTTCCAGGGGTCCTGGGTTTGATTCCCAGCACCACATGATGGCTCACAGCTGTGTATAACTCTATAGTTCCAGGGTATCTGACACTTTCTTCTGGACTCCGTGGGCACTGGACACACATGCAAGCAAAATGCCCAAACACATAAAAATAACAACAAAAACAAACCAACAGAAACGTAGACATTCACAGCGGCAGAGAAGTGTTTGTAATTTGTAAGTGAAAAAAAAAAAATGCTTTGGGGATGAGGCCATGCTGGTCAGTGTATGAATGTGTAAAATGTTGAGAATTTTAACCATGGATAATGTCTGCCTTCTTCTTTGTGCCTTCCAGACTTTATTAGAATGAGGATCCATTTCTGCCCTGATAGGAGTAATGTGATAAACATTTGTGTAGAACAGGGCTGTAGCCCCTGGGAAGCAGTGTGAGACGTGGTTGAGTCTCAGCTCCTGGGTGGCTGCAGCCAGTGCCTGGGGCTGCTCCTCACCGCCTCCCTGTCTCTTCCCAGGATGCTGTTTGTGACTGTAGTGCCCAGTCGCTCGCCTCCTGCTTCGTCCGGCCATCCCGCAACACCATCCGACATTCTCCTTCCAAGTGCAGACTGCACCCTTCAGAGTCGGGCTGGGGCGGGGAGGAGAGGGCAGCCCCACAGTGAGTCCCAGGGCATCTAAGCTCCCGCCTCAAGCAGCCCAGACCCTGGAGATGAGACAAGGGGTCACGTCCTCAGCCTCACTCTGCCCAGGAGGAACAGCAGCTGTACCACTGCCAGAGAAGAGCTTTTCAAGGTAAAGCAGGGTGTCCCGCTGACTGCTGGGAGGTGACCTCTGATTTCCAGGGGAAGGCAGTGAGCAGGAGAAAGACCAAACCTGGGTCATCAGGGCTCTGAGCCTCAAAAGCACCTGAAGCGCTCCACAAGTCATCTCTGGATCCTAAAGGGGGCCTGGTACCACCCACACCGCTTCTTAGAAGGATCTAGAAAAGGAGGGATTTCTGGCCAGGAATGGGGCTCACAGAGATGGGCCCTACCTGACCACATGTGGAGAAGCCGCCGAGAAGACTGGGTTTTGCTTAGGGCCCAGCTTGCCGCTCCTGAGGAGTGGGTGGGCTGAGCGGCATCACCATCACTTCTTGCTTCCTCCTCCCAGCTCTGCTGATCCGGTTGCTAGGCCTTCTTGGAGCAGGGAAGGGGGATATGATAGAGCGGAAGCCAGGGCCAAGTACACTTGGAATCCTGGAGCCCTGGATCCCCCTCCTGTACCCACATGTAACAAGAACTGGGAGGCAGGGAGGAGTGTGTAAGGTTCAGAATTGGAGGCCAGGAGAGCTGGCTCCCTTGTCAAGGTGACTTGAAAACCCGACTTTCATAGGAGACTCCATGAGAACAGAAATGGGTAGGGTCCATCTCAACACCTGACGCAGAGGTAAAAGCCTACATGGCATGCCTTGATCCCTAGGGCCTCTTTCTTGGTAGCAGGAATGGGTGCCACAATCCTGCAGCAAGTCGGGGGCAGCAATGCTCCCTGGGAGAGACTCGATTGGTCAGGTCAGGCCAGAGAAAAGCGCCAAAAGGCCAGTGTCCCAGGACACAGCCCAAGACAAGGGCCTACAAACATTTCTTGCCTAGGTTGTTTATTTGAGTTTTTCATACTATAAATATTTAAGGTGATTTACTTTATTTTAATAATTTAACTTACCAGCCCCCCACCCCCAAAAGCCCTTAAGGTAATTTATTAGAGGTTTTCTTGCCGCTGGGACATTGTGGGGCTTGTGACACCGTGGAGTCCCCCACCTAGCTGAGGCTGCTCAGCACCAGGCTCAGATGGCCTGGTTTCGTCAGAAGGGCCCTTGGCAGACCTGGGGCTCTGCACCTTGTGACCCCAGTGCCACTGGCCATTTAGTCTCAGATCACTACATTTTACTCATCACCTGGTACTTGGCCTGGCCTCTACAGGCCAGACTGTAAATACTTCAGACAAAGCGTAGGCCAGAATGATGTCACCACTCCCCAGACACCCTCCATGATCCTTCTCACCCCTCCCGTCCCTCCAACACCTTTTCTCCCGAGTCAAACAAAGATGACCGGAGCTGCGAGCACAGCGACCCTCCACGTTCGCCACGTGGGACCTCACAGGAAAACAGGATGGACTTGTAGAATGTTGTCTACCGCAGCTTTGCACATGGATCTGAGAGTGTCTACCAGCCCTTCTCTTAGCCTTATAGCCACTTGCGGCTCTTCTTCTAGCCCCAGCTCCACTGCCTGCCCCTTCCTGCGCCCCTAGGAGTCGCCTGAGCCACACCAGTGTAACTCAGACCACAGTATCGGGAGCTCACATGCCTCCCCTTGGTGCCAATGAACCAATTTCAGTTGTGCTCGGGATGTGCTGCCCTCCGGTTCCTGGCTGGGGATCTGGACTCATCTAAGGATGGATTGGTGTCGTGCCGAGTTCCCCATCAGAAAGGCAGAGAGCCAGCTGCACAGCGCGTTTCCTCCAGACGAGGGAGATGCCTCCACGCTCCCACCTACCAGTTTCCAGGCTACCTTTTTTGGGGACACCTGGAACAGTTACCCAAAGCCCCACGACCCCATTCCCTATGGGCAGTATACCAGGGTCAGTCCATCCCACCAGCTGTTGCCTCGTGTCCTAGTGACTTGCATGGGCAGAGTCAGCAGGCCAGTGGACCTTGGGCCGGGTCCCTCCAGGATGCTACTGCTCTCCTCCAAGAGGTCAGAGGCCCCTCTAAGGTTATCTCCAGCTGAGGGGACCACGCCAGGCCACAAGCCACCAGAGGCCTTCTGCCACCTCCCAGAGCTGCTGAGAGCCAGGGAGGCTTGAAGAAAAGTCCCCATAGACCTGAACCCCAGGGCTTAGGGGCCACTCAGCCTTACCATCGTCTCCCATCTGGGTCGTTTTGCGTTTCCGCTGTCTCAGCACCTGGCCCCCCCATGGCCCCCAGCAGGTGTTGCAAGCTCCAAGTCTTGGTTTTCAGTCCCTGTTTCTAACTCTTGCTTTGCCACTGTGCAAGGCTCTTGTCACTGTCCCCATAGAAGCCCCCGGACATAGGGCTTGATGGGGTTGAACATGTTACATGTAAATATTGGTTTGGTTTGATCTTTAGCATTTTACTTGGTAACTGGTTCTGTTTTCTTTTTTGGGGGGTGGAAGGGTTGGTATGAAAATCTCTCTACTCTTTCGAAATGTAATTTCTAAGTTTGTTTGTTTCTTCAAATGCCTTTTATGTCTTGGTAACATTCCCAAAGCAGAAAACTGCCTGGCCTACATGGGGCGCTCCCCTGGAGGCCTGGGGTCATGGGAAGGAGCACTGCCCTTCCTCCCAATCCATCCTCTTTCTGTCCACCTCCGCCTTTCTCCTCCTTTTCCTTCAGCTCTCTACCTCCTTTTTCCCCATCTCTCTTTCTCTCTTAGCCAATGTCCCAAGGAACCTTGGGGTCCCCGTCCTCTAATAGATTGCCTGGCTTGAGCCCATAGGGTTGACACAGATTGGCTGGGGGCATGAGGGTGAGTTACATAATTGAAACTAAGCTAGGTCTCACCTTTTCCCAGGGCTAAACCAAATTAGACCACCTTGGAGACAATGGTGAAGGGTTTTGAAATGAAATTCAGAGCCCTTGGGACCCCCTGACTGAACAAGGCATCAGAATCCATTTCCTTTGCTCTGTAGCCTTCCTTCCAGTCCTTATCCAACCAAGGCCTATTCTCAAATCGGGCTCTATCTCTTGGCCTCTCCAGGGATAGTCATCTACCAGCTGGCCTCCAGGTGACAAAGTACTCCAAAGACTTGGCCTTCTGGATACCACTATGCCACTTATGAACCTTTCATGGATATATCCATCACTCAGCTCACTCAGCTTTGTCTTTTGCCCCAAGACCACCAGGCTCTTCCTCTTCCCCACCCACCCAGAACGGAACCAGTTCCAGACGTAACTGTCCACTAGCTCCCTCTTGTCATAACAGCCACCCCTCACACCATCCTCCCTGGAGTACTTCACTGTTTGAAAGTCACATCCTCAAACCCCTCTCCTCAGGTCTCTCAAGGGCAACTCTTAAGAGGCGGTTTTGACAAGACAGGGCTTAATGCTCCTTCTGCCAGTGTGAAAACAGATAAAGTTCTCATACCGGAGCCTGGAGCCAGGAAGTCATCACTTTTACAGCTGGACTCTTTCTGTACAAACTCACTGGGACGCTGGCTAGATTCAGGGCATCCCAAATTTGCCACTGCCAAACCCAGAGGCAAGACTTGCAACTCTCTAGACCTTTGTGTTCCAGAGGGTATCCAGGGACCTGCTACATCTGAACCTCTGAGAGCATGTTCAAAGTGCAGATTCCTAGGCCTGACCATAACCGTCTGGACAGAGGACCTTCGGGTTTAGCTCTGGGGGAGATCCTTAAGGACCAGTGACCACAGCGTTTACATCCACAGGTCCGGCCATTCGTGGCTCTTGCATTGTGAGCCAGTGCTCGTGGTGTGGGCTCTTGACAAGAGCCCTGAGCGTTAAGCTGGGATACTGAGGATGTGTGTGTGCATGCGTGTGTGTGTGTGTGTGTGTGTGTGTGTGTGTGCGTGTGTGTGCGTGTGCGTGTGCGTGTGTGTGTGTTGGGGGGGTCCTCAACCAAACTCTGCTTTGAGGAAATTACCCCAAGGATTTCCAAAGGACACCCAAACCAGTCTTCCACCTTAGGCAGATGTTTCATAAAATAACAAAGCCAGAAAGCTGAGGCTGATGGCACAGCCCTTTAATCCCAGCTACTCAGGAGGCTGAAACAGGATTGGGTCAAGTTCAAATCCTGTTTGGGCTACAGCTCATGGTCGGTCTGGGCAGTTTTCTGAGGCCTTGTCTCAAAATAAGGATTTTAGAAAGTGCTATGTAGCTCAGTGGTAGACACTTACTCCACATGTGTAAGGCCCTGGGCTCTTTCCCTGGTATTGGAAGACAAAGAAAACTAGAAAATCAAAGGGTGAGGAGGACTGGAGACGTATATCTCAGTAGTAGAGCACTTGCCCAGCATATGAAAAAGGGAAAAACAATCTTTCCCCAGTCTACCCGCTATCATCCCCGTAATTACAAATTTAAATTGTACACCCCCCCCCACCCCCCCGCTTTTTGTTTGTCTGTTTTTGTTTTTAGACACGACTGTGCTATGTATCCCTGGCAAATCTGGAAATTGCTATGTAGACCTTAAACGTGGTAATTCTGCCTTTGCCTCCCCAAGTTTAATTAATTAATAATTAATAGCCATATACCATCATACACAACCTGAAACTTCATTCTTGAGTTTCCTGGCAGCCACGGTAAGAGAAGAAGCATATCATGTTTTTATCATTTCCCGCAGTCAGTCATGTGAGCCATCAGTCATGTGAGCGATGAGCATATATGCTCTGAGAGACAAGCTAATGTGGAGCATGAGTTCTTTCCTCGAAGACACGGGAGCTGGTTGGTGTTTTACCAATAAAGCATGTTTCCCAGGTGACTATTTATAAAATAATAAACTGCCACCAGCTTGAATGACCTTGGCCAAATCACATAGCTAGTCCTTTTGTGCTTCAGTTTCCCCAGCTATAAAGTGGTGGCTATGGTAATGACCAAATGCACCATGCCTGCTCATCCCCCAAGAAAAGCTGAAGCTCTGTACCAATCTGAATTATATCTGACCGCACTCGTTATAGCCATCGAGCCCCTCAGTGCCCTGGCTCCAGTGGTGGCACGTACCTCCTTCTCTCATTGGCCTTAAAATAAATAGAAGGGGACCACAGGAGAATCTCAACTAATCCGCTCACATTTTAAAACGCTGTTGTAGTCCTTTTAAGTGTGTGTGTGTGTGTGTGTGTGTGTGTGTGTGTGTGTGTGTGTGTGTGTGCTGGGAATGAGACTGAGCATGTGAGACAAGCACTTTACCACTCTGCTACATCTTCAACACCTAAGAGGCTTTTAGAAAATTAATTTATTTTGAGAAAGTGTCTCCTCTGTCATCAGTTGGCCTCCAACTCACTGTGTAACCAAGGATGAACTTGAACTCCTGATCTTCCTCTCTCTCTCTCTCTCTCTCTCTCTCTCTCTGTGTGCTGTGGGATTTCTTTCTGTACTCTGTGAATATGTGTTGCGCCCATTGGCATTTGCCATAACTCCTGACCTTAAGTGTCTTTTGTGAACATTCACAATATTGTGTCACCAGTACTATTCCCCCCCCCCCCCCCCCCCCATTGGCATTTGCCATAACTCCTGACCTTAAGTGTCTTTTGTGAACATTCACAATATTGTGTCACCAGTACTATTCCCAGAACTTTTTCTTGGCCCCGGACTGAAACTGCACCCCCTCATAATAATTAATAACTGACCCCTAAACAATAATCCCTGCCCCTGCCCCAGGGCTGGATGACCTCTGCTCTGCTTCCTTCCTCTTTGCACTGGCCTGTTTTAGGTACGTGTGTAGACAGAACCCAGCGTTTATCCATCATGTTTCCCCCCTGCGTGCTTTACACGTCGAGAAGGGAGTGGCTTGTCCAAGGCCTCGCAGCAAGGCAGAGGCACAGCCACCAGCGCATCCAGGGCTCCTGACTCCTGGAAGATTCCACACATAGTGCATGAAGCATGCTGGGGGAGGGGGTCGGCTGACTCCCCGTCTTCCCACCTCACACCCACCCCTCCATCATCATCCAGAGCTTCCCCACATAGCTTCCACTTCTTAGCTGGTTTCTGCCACCCGGTGAAGCAATCCTAGCCTAGAACCAGGTTTTCTTCTCTGGGACCCTGGGATTTCTGTAGCACCAGCCCTCAGCCCTCCTGTATCCTCTGGTACACTCTTCCCTCTTTTGTATGGAATTTTGTCTGACCTGGAAATCCCCTCCCTGTCCCTACAAACTCACATCCCCACCCCCATCAGGGGATTGCCCTGTCCAGTTTTTCTTCCAATTCCAAGGTTTTCTCTCAGATCTGGAGTTATCCAGTCTTGTGTTTATTTTGTATTTTTTCCTCACTAGAGGCATCCCCTTTGTTCCGTGCATCATGCAATGCCACCTCTTCCAGCCTCCTCATCAGACTCACCCCAGCCCAGAACACCCCCAGTCCCATCCCACTCTCTGGCTGCTGCCTTCCCTGCTCCTCCCAGTAGCAGCCAGGTCACCTTCCTCTGGGAGGATGCATAGTGGACATGGACCCAATGTTCACTTTTGGGTCTTCTCTTCCCTCTCCCCGCTCTTGGTGGCCTTGGTATAAAGCAGAAGGTTGACTTCTCTTTCTTTGGTTTTGTGTCCCTCTGTCCATCCTGTCCCATCTGTCCATCCCTAGCCTTCACCTCCCAGCTCGTCTTGGCAGACCCTCACCCTTTTGAACCAACAGCATTTGCAGTTTGCAGAATCCACAGACCCAGGAAAGGGGGCTGAGGGCATGATCCTGGGCCCCCGTCCCCGCTCAGGGCTCCTCTACTGTCTGACCACTTTCCTTCCTCACCCTCCTGGGAACCTTCTCTTCCCTTTGTCTACCCCATTGATTCTGTGCCCACCCCCCTTTCCTACCCTTCACCAGCTCCCTGGACCTTAGGGAAGATTCTTCGGTTTCCTCTGAAAATCCTGGAAGACTGAGGCAGTCAGAGTCTGGATTACTTGTCACACCACATCCAAAGCCACCGTTGCCACTTCTGTCAAGAGAGACCTCAGCTGGCAGTCTGGAAACCTATCCCAAGTTTTATGGTCCTCCCAGGAGCACCAGGATGACCCTATGGGCTTCAAACATCCTTTGCGTTTTGGGGTCCTGAGGCCTCGACTGGATCCTCTGGGCCCTGGCACCCCGGCTCTTCTCTTGGCTCTGCCATTGATCTCTGTGCCTTATTTTACTTCTCTGCACAGGGGGGCTCACCCACCACAACATCATTCCTAGCATCTGTCTAGATCTTTCGGACCTCTGCAGCTGGGCCTTGCCAACATGGCTTGCCTTAGGAGTACCAGGTTGCCAAGGCAACTGGGGGCATCACTGGAGACTAGTGTCTCTCAAACTCTCTCCCAGCAGTAGAGCCCTCACCAGCAAGGTTGACAGAAGTGCAGATTGTTGGCCCCATCCAAGACCCCCTGGAGCCAGTCCAGCCAGCTGGGGTTTGAAAGGGCCTCCAGGTCATTCCGATGTAGACAAGTTTGCCAACAACGTTGTCCCATACAGCTGTCCACTCAGCTCGGGCAGTAATTGGGCCTGGCCTGGGCCAAGAACAATGGAAAACAACCTGAACTCTAGATTCAGGGCCTCAGCCCATCCACCACCCACCCCCACCCTAACCAAACATCACTGTAGCATCTCCTATTTTTGGAAGCTGGGATGGAGAGACAGCCCTGCAGCTTTCCTATTACCTCCTTGGTTCCATTTCCGCCCAGCTCACCATCCCCCACTAATTTGGATTTTGAGGAAATCTGCGTAGGAGGTCACAGAGGCAGGAGGCAAAAAGGACCCTTTTTTTTGTTTTTCCTCTGGAATCCTCACCATTGCCAGAGGGCCTCTATCCAAAGGGAAGAAACCTGCTGCAAGAAGAGACTCCCCAGCCCCCTCCCCATCAGCAAGCACTCCCACACCACATCCTTCTCCTCCCAATCCCAGGGAGACCAGCAGACAGTGCCAAAACCCAGCTCCAGACCCCAGCACCTGGGAAAGAGCTAGAAACTGCCTCTCCTCCTCATCCTGCCTCCCCTCCCCCATCTGGCCAATACTGTGAAGCCCCTTCCTGCTCATCCCAGTTTCCTGGGGAGGGTCCTGCAGTCGTGGGCCCTGGGGGACCCCTCAGGAGGGAAGGGACCAAGGGCATCCTTGGGCCAACTATCCACCTCCCCCTTCCACTATTCTCCTCTCCTCCTCCTCCTCCTCCTTCTCCTCCTCTTCCTCCTTCCATTACCCCCACCCCCCTTTCTGTCTTTAAAGGCTCCTTCCTGGGATGGATTGGGTGACAGAGAACAGCAGTCTAGTCCACCAGCTCTCCTCGCCCTGTGTCTTATTTCAGACATGAGAACTGTACAGTGTAAACTTACAAAGTGTTTTTAATGGTTGTAGATTGGAAATAAAGTATGTCATATAAACATTTGCCTGCTTTCTGCTCTCTGCTTTTCCCTGGAGAGGCTGGTGGGGCCCCAGCAGGTTTGAAAACTGACTCCATCCCACCTGGGATTGCTTAAGAGGGGAAAACCGAAGCCATCTGGCTGGTTTGGAATCACCTAGATGGGGCCACCATGTGTGTATGTGTGTGTGTGTGTGGGGGGGGTTGGTGGCTCATGGCTGGTAACTCAGCGTCTCCCAGGAAGTGTGTCACCACTACTGAGAAACAAATGCAGAATGCTCAAGAAGGAGAAAAATAGAATCAAGCTTTTCCCTAACACAGTAATTTATTATGGGCGAAAGATACTTTTAGTCATTACAGTGAAATTAATCATCCCAAATGTATCATATCCTACCAATGTTGTGGGCTGCGAATGTGGGAACTGGGCAGTTCTAGTTCATGGATTCTGGAGGCTTGCAATCTGATATCAAGTAAGCTATGAGTATTTCCAGCTTAGAGCGTCTGGGGAAGGAACCCAGGGTCCGTATCATGCATGTCAGGGGAGCTCTACCAGAGAGCTATAGGCCTAGGCAGCCTGCGCTCCTTGGATTTCTGACTAGAGCTCGAAGATCCCTTTACAAAGTGGCTAATTCGCCGGGCGGTGATGGCGCATGCCTTTAATCCCAGCACCCGGGAGGCAGAGCCAGGCGGATCTCTGTGAGTTCAAGGCCAGCCTGGGCTATGGAGTGAGTTCCAGGAAAGGCGCAAAGCTACACAGAGAAACCCTGTCTCGAAAAACAAAAAAACAAAACAAAACAAAGTGGCTAATTCACAAACCTGGGGAGTCAGTACCGACTATCAAGAAAGAGATTCAGTTCCTCAACATGTGCAGAAGCTTGCATATCCTTGCCCTGTGGCCACTAGCTTATGGGCTAAGCCCTGAAAGCTACATTTCTGTGATATTTTACTGGTTACATAAACTAACTCTTTTCAGTGCAGGAGGGGACTATGCAGACACTCTTCACTGTAGGAAGAGATGACACACCAGGAAAAGGGACACTGGGGCCATCTTGGAAGCTGCCTGCTGTATGTGAGGGGTACGGTAAAGAAGCTGCCGACATGACCGCTCCTTGATATGGTTAAAGTTTTTATTTTAGATACAAGACAGAACAGCCAGAGGCATCTGGAGGAGTCCAGAGCAGAGAGAGAAAGAAGCAGACTGGACGTGGCCAGCAGACTGGACA